TCTCTTTGTCTCTGTGTCTGTCTCTGTGTTTGTCTCTTTGTCTCTGTGTTTGTCTCTTTGACTCCGTGTCTGTCTCTTTGTTTGTCTCTGTGTTTGTCTCTGTGTCTGTCCACACTGACCTCTTTGAATGTCCCCTTGGCCCTGACGAGTTTGTAGAGGAGGCTGACGGGGATGCAGAGCATGGAGGACAGAGCCATGCACCACCCGATCACCTCCCCCCACCACGGGTACACGTACATGTTGTTGTAGGTCAGCGGCTTGTAGTTCACCAGGTGGAACAGGAAGATGCCCTGCAGAGGAGATATGTTATGTAACGTATGATCATGTACTTATGATTCTCAGTGTGTGTACAGTCTTACCAGGCAGACACACGGGGTGATGAAGGACCAGCACCACTTCATCCAGGGGAACGGCCGGTAGCCAATCATACGAGCCACATCGTCCATGAAGCGGTCAGCACCTGAAACCAAGTACCGAGTCCTCCATCAACAACGCACTGCAGTCATATTAATATCATGGCTGACTGGTGCATGCTGTTTATCTAAAACATGAACACTTTGACTTTATTATATATAGTAACTATATACTATGATACGACTCTTTTCATGATGAAACACTCGTTTCAACGCCCCGTCCATCGAATGCAGTGGACGCTAACAGAGGACAGACTCCATCACATCTTTGATACATTTATTGGGTTCATGAATTTGTTTCTGTTGTTCAATATTCAATTATATAATCATGTTGTTGTTTGTATTTTGTTTGTTGTGAAATCATAATCGTTAACAAAAACATGGAATATTAAATAAAATGACTAAAGTGACTGGACATGTACCAGGTTGTGTTTTTATATACTTAATGTCACTGAGTATGGTATGACATAAAAATGTATGTAGAAAAAATATATAAAAGTATAGTTGGTAATAAAATATCATTGTATGTCACAAAGATGTGAAAATAAGTATTAGTTTACATGTCCTCCAAATATCTGAGTCTGAGTATAGTTTAGTGTAATAGTTAAACATTAAGAATAGAATGTCCTTTTATTGACATTGTAAGGTACGACATGAGAATGTGAGTCTTTAACGTAAGAACATAAATCATGGTATAGTATCTCATTCGAAAAGGTAAATATGACTCACAGTATGTCATCAATCTCATGAACATGTAATAAGTCACAATAGAAATCATGTAGACTGAACTATGACCTTCTTCACCGTAACATCATACAACATAACTATTCACACGCCTATTCTCAGATCAGACCCTCTGCTGCAGTCCATGAAACACGACCCTGTGTGTGTGTGTGTGTGTGTGTGCGTGTGTGTGTGTGTGTGCGGGCGTGTGTGCGTGTGTGTGTGTGTGTGTGTGCGTGTGCGTGTGTGTGCGTGTGCGTGTGTGTGTGTGTTGCATACCGTAGACCCAGGCAACTACTATGCATTCCCAGAATGCTTGCCACAACAGAGTCATTCCACTGGCCGAATAGTAGTCAAACAGCTGGAAGACGTACATCCCCGCCTGCAGAGAGAGAGCTGAGTGTTTCACAGATCAACACGGTCACTTCAACACAAAGTTAAACTGGTGTTAGTGTGACGAGCTTCAGGTTCTCTCCACTCAGACATTTAGCTTCACTGTGTGACTGACCTGCGTCACCATGGAGAGGTCGATGATGAAGCACAGGAAGCAGCAAACCGCCACAGAGATCTCCCTCTTGTAGCGGTAGTGGGGCTTCACCGGGAGCAGGTCCAGGATTCCAGTAACGAACCCCTCCACCCCGACGAACTGCACACGCACAGAGACCAACACTCACAGCTCATTTCATTTTAATACAATATAATAAAATAAGGTTAAAAGCTATATTCATATAGCAATAGTGCACATCTGTTTCACAAATATAATAAATAAATAGCGATGCCAGTCAACATGAAGTTACACGATCATCACTTTATGAAGATCGAGCTGAAAGCTCTAATATCTGCGCTTCACTGACTGCACCGTCGGGGCTGAGTCACTTGATGATGATGTCACTTTGAGACGTATTATTATTGTATTAATAATAAGTAGTATTGATCACCTGACTGTCGAGTCCCAGCAGCAGCAGCATGAAGAAGAAGAGCGCCGCCCAGAGAGGAGCCGCCGGCATCAGACTGACGGCCTTCGGGTACGCGATGAAGGCCAGACCAGGACCTGCAGCACACCATGGGTTAATGTTGGTCTCACTGCTGAGTAAAGAACTTCTCCGTCTTTAAACCAGATCGTGTTCACATTTCATTTGGTTTGGTTTTCTGCCCCTCACATCTTATTTCTCAATTTAATTTTTTTTACAATATTTTTGTCAGTTTTGAAAGTTTAAAGTAAAAATAACAGTCGAATGAATGAATTCATCAAACGGTGATTTCCTTTTCCAATTGTTTCATTTGTTGGATTGTTTTGCTCCCTGATGAATAGAAACGTTTCCAGTTTTATGTTTTCTTGTTGATGCTGTTGATCATATCGTGAGCCGTCAGATCTCCGATGAACCCGGCCCTTTAAGACTTTAAAGAGGAGTTTATTCATCATGTTGATTGACAGGTGGGGCGTCCAATCAGCAGAGAGCAGCCCCTCCTCCTCGTTTACTGAGGATCAAACTGATTAAAGTCTACGCACAGACGCGATGAGACTGGAGTGACGCGAATTTGAGATGGCGCGGCACGATTCAAGTCAATCGCCAAAACGCCCCAAACGCGTGAGTTGAAATTTTTCAACTTTGGCGTGATGCTGCGGTGCGATAGCCTATCAGCGTTGAGATGTTTCTCCTGTCATCACTGACTTCCTGCCGTTGTTGAATCAGGAAATAAATCCTGTATCCGTCTGTGTTCACCCAGAGCTCTACGATCCCTCATATCAACAGAGACCGCTGTGTGTATACATGTGTGTGTAAACCATACGGTACAAACAATGAATAGACGCTGCCGTATTTACGCCTGTGTGACATTATGTTGAGTGTTGACGGAGCTGCTACAATGTTAGCTTAGCATAGCACCGATCGATCCAGACTCTATTGAGAAAACAAGTATTTTAAACGTTATTTTCTTATCGTCTTGAGGAGAGAACTAACTAAACATGAATTCAGACTTTTTACTAATCGGCATCATTAGTAGTTATTTTGGGGTCTCTTTTTGTCGGTTTATTGCAGTTAAATCACAACAGAATCGATGAGATCCACGGAGCTCCTCTGGACTGTTATGAACCAGACATGACGGCGTTTCGTTTCCTGATATCTGGAATTCCACAACACGTACTAAGCAGAAATAGAGGTTATTTTTTCCATGGTTAATGGCGGACAGTTGAACGGCTTCCGGGGCGATAAGCCACGCCCTCTCTCCGGCGCGTCCAGCGAGATTCACGCGAATGAACACAAATGGTCCCCGGTGAGTCCGGCGGCGCGAATGACGCAAAGTCATTCACGAAGAACACGGCATAACAAGTAACAGTATACTTCAGTAAAAGTATTACAGTAGGTATTACAGTATCTAAAGTAAAAGCCCTTTTTTTAAGAAGTTACTTTAGATCAAAAACACAAATCCTTCAGCAGAAAAGTTCATCTTTTAATCTATAATAATGAGATGTTTATGTGTAAAATCAAAGCAGTAAAAAAAGTACAATAATATTAAATGTAGTAGAAGTATAAAGTTCAGGCTGATGATTCTGCTTTAAATAAAGAAAAATAAATGATTTTATTTACAGTTATTATTCTCTCATCTTATAGAAAGAATAATAACTGAAACAATGTTTCAGATGTTTTGTTTGTCTCTTATCAGTTTCCCTGATATTCTGTATATATTTGTATCTTGAGATGATAAATAATATTAATATCTTGTCTGATGAATGGACAAAATCTCTGTCAATAAAGCCTTAAAAAACAGACGTTTGAACCCGAATGGATCTGCTGCTGGAGAACAAAGAACCATAACATGTTTATTCTTTACAGAGCAGAACTCGTGATGTTTCACTTTGTTACCTGTCTCGGCGACCTGCGAGATGTCGACTCCCTGTTCAGCAGCCATGAAGCCCAGAATAGAAAACACCACGAAACCAGCAAAGAAACTGGTCCCACTGTTGATGAGAGCCAAGACGAAAGCGTCTCTAAAGGGACAGAGAGACAATAACATCAATAGACTGATATGAAGCAAACGTAGCTTAGCAACTCGTTACACACCAAGCAGGAAATATATGAACTTATGTTTGTCATTTCTTTATTTCTTCTTCTAGTGGTTTCTTTAAAGACAGAGACATTTTTCCACTGGTATAAACAATATAATAATATAATAACATAACCACAAACATCCTTTAACCCAGTTTTGTAAAATAAAAAAAACACAAGTATAATTACAATACTTGTTTTGCAATCTTTGTGGGGTCTCAGCTTTAAACCATCGTAGTGAGGACCATCTGAATTATGAGGACATTTTAGTTCTATCGAGGTACATATTGTACTTTATACTGTACTACATCTCAGAAGTACGTATTGTACTTTATACTGTACTACACCTCAGAGGTACGTATTGTACTTTATACTGTACTACACCTGAGAGGTACATATTGTACTTTATACTGTACTACATCTCAGAAGTACGTATTGTACTTTATACTGTACTACACCTCAGAGGTACATATTGTACTT